ACCCACTCTAACAGGTCCATGTCTCTCTTGTACTGGGAACCCCAGAGTGCACACAGTGCTCCAGGTAGGGTCTCACCAGAGCAGAGTAGAGAGGGAGAATCTCCTCCCTCGACCAGCTGGCCACGCTTCTTTTCGTGCAGCCCTGAATAATTGGCTTTCTGGGCTGCAAGCGTACGTTGCTGGCTCGTGTCCATTTTTTCACCCACCAGTATCCCAAAGTCCTCCTCTGCAGCGCTGCTCTCAATTTGTTCTTCCACCAGTTTTTCTACTGATACTGGGGACTGTTCCAACCCTGATGCAGATCTGCTGTGTTCAGAATTTTCTTTCTTTTCATGTTTCTGTTCTGGTTTTTGTCCAGATGCACCAGATCCAAAGTTGACTTTTAAACTCTAAACAATATTTAATCAACTCTTACACCCTAGGGGCCTGAGTGTGATTGCTTATAAGGGAAGCAGAACATAAGAACTACTTCCTCCCACTCAAAACAAATCTGCTGCAGAATAGCATTTTAAGGACTGTTCATCTCTCAGGCAGCTTAACAAACTTGCATTCAATTCCAAGCACAGTGCCAGTTTAATTTTTTCAATAAAGCTTCAGATTTGATCTGCTCCTTGCAGCCATTCCTGAAGACCTGGCAAAAGACCGTATTCTACCTCAGCAGTAGTTTCTGTTAGCATCAGTTGAGAAAACAACGTAGGTTCTTCTTCAGCCACGCAGAAGCAACAATTCAGATATAAGGCTGCTTTACAGCTAAAAAGTTCAGGTGTACAGGTGAAAAGCTGGAGTTCAATATCATACAATCGTAAATATCTTCAATTTATACAGGCTCCAGTGACTACCCACACACTGTATCACTGAAAATTCAACAGTAAGTTATCTTCTAGAAATTGGATAGCACAATACACATGAGCAGTGCTTGCAGATGTGTTAGAAAAAGGTTGCAAAAGTTGTTCTTTCTGATGCAACTTTTCTGGTTTTCTACTTGTGACTTTTCAAGTACCTTGATCTTCAATAAAATGTTAAAACTACTGTGGAAAGGACCTGATCCCTCCCCAGAGAGAGTTGTTTCTTCTGATAAATAACTGTAGCACTGAGATCATACTATTTACTTATATTGGCCATGTCTTGATTCAAAAATTAGTAGTTCCAAAATTACCAGATAAGACCATCTTTTGACCATGTCACGCCTCAGTCAAGTTTGTTAATTCATTGCCAATTTATTGCGAAATTATTGAATTTACTGAGAATGTATACTGTAACTTTGTACCAGGTTCTTCTACATGTTAAAAAAAAACCCAAAAAACCAAACAAAAACGTTTGACGGAAAAGCTGGTGCATGGAAAATAAAAATGAAAAGCAACTCTGACCCTAGAATCTGCATGAAGAATTTTTCTTCTCAGCAAAGCTCTAAAGGAACCAATCACAATACGGTTTATAACAGCAACACTAATTACTCTGTCAAAGAAACAATACCCAGAAGAGGAATTCTATCTTTTGCTAACCATGTCACAAGTATCATCACAAACACACATACTACCAAGACTACCAAAGGACAGCACTAGTGGGGGTAGGAATTGGATGGGGCAGAAAAGCATCTGGGTAAAATCCTAGGGCAGCTAGTGCTCACCATGACATTTACACTTAATCTGAGTCATTCATATCGTAATCCGTTTCTTCATCCTCACTCTGAGTGGCATGCAGCAAGTATAGAGAAAGGAAGGGAAAAGAAGAGATTGCAAGTAAGTCAGAGCTGCAGCAAAGTACAGTCCACTTACACCTGAAGCACCTGGGAATGACATTTATTTACTTTTATCTGGGACCCCCACTCTTTGTAAGAAAGTATGACAGCAGACATTTTTGAGGAGGAACATTACAGATTTCACCAAAATTTCCTTTTTCAAATATCCTTAAGTCAGCAGATAGAAGCCAATAGTGCCATGCAACATTACAATAGGGACCATAAGTACAGAGAAAATTCAAGTAAAACTGTAAAGCTGGTACCTTAACTCTGTGTACTCTTCACCATGGATGGGAAAGAATAGCCCTTGAGAATCTTAACTTTGGATGTAGCTGTTATGAACAAGCTTAGGTCATTTGTCCCAAGAGTGACAGCTCAATAAAGTGGTATGAAAGAGAAGAATGCTCGTGGGAATACAGGTTATCTTTCAGTAGTGCCATGGCTACCAGAGAAAGCCACTGGAACCAATTGAGTCAATGTCCCAAATGCTGGTCATTTCCCTTGCTTAGGTGTATTAGAAGGTTACACAGAAGGCAACTACTATCTCACTATGAAACTATCTTCCAAAAAGAGAAAACACAAGAAAAAAAGTCTCTGAGAAGGAATGAAGGTGAAGCTCGATTATATGGGCTACCACAAAATGTTTTTTCCTATTCTGAAAGTCCAGTACTATTAATTGAAATGAAGTGCTTGTCAATGAAATGACAATGAAATGACCTACTGTCAGGTTTTTGTTCTCTCTAAGCCAACCTGCTGTAAAAGTAATAGGAAGGCCTTCTCATGGCTTCTAAAAGTCAGTCCCAGTACATGAACACATTATTCTGTACATAGCACTAGATACCAGAATTTCAACCCTATGAACTCCACGAAGACCAACTCGGACACTAACGAACAGACTGCAGATTAACACTGGCTAAGAGGGAAGTATTGAAACAAGAGCTCCCAAGGTCCAGGCAAGATTCCTGAACACAGCTGTCAGAAACCCCCAACCAAAAAAGAAGTGTTTTTTTTCTTTTTTTTTCCAGGCACAACATATACCTATTAAAAAATAATCGATCTATTAGAAACACAATATATAAAAAATGATTCTTCAAGCATTGCCATTAATTGCTAGCAACAGCTCAACTCTTCCAGGACAAAAGGACTGAATGTTTATATCTCCAATCAAAATTAACAGTAATTCTTATTCACCATCCTGGTCAAATTATGCTCTGCTCTCTTCTCTGAAATAATGACCAAGAAGCACTTCAATGGAGAGGTCTAAGATTTAGCTTCTCCCAGAGCTACTGAATTTACAAAGTTGTACTGCACTTGGAACTAGCTTTTGTATTTAGGGTTTAATAGTTTCATTTGATCCATATCTTCTTTTACATTAAGAATGCAATGTAACTCTGGCAACTTCTGAAGTTCCCTGAAGATGTATTACCATTCCTTACGAAGATGTTTATTACGTTCTAGAATTCCACGTTTTATTTCATCTCAGCCCTAAATTATTACCATGCATTCTCTAACTTGTCAACTTTTAAAGTTTCCTGAAGCATCCTGGCAAAAGCAGACCTTGACTAGGGTTTTGGAAAG